ACTATTTGCAAAATAAAAAAATATTATTATTATTATTATTTAATAGCCATATTATTGATATATAATCAAGTCATTAATTATTATTGATATTATTGTATAGTATAGTTATATTGACAAAATTGAGTAGCCCTACAAACCAGCACAGCAAACCTAGAATTTTATTTGTACACTTTCAATCAAAATTATTTCAGAAAAATGAGAAAATGTAAAACAACTGTGCAGCCCTACATTATTACTTTTTTCCAAATAAAAAAATATTATTATTATTATTTAATAGCCATGTTATTTATATTTTTTATTATAATATTATATTTTATTATAAATATTTTATTTTTATTATTATTAATATTATTGTATAGTTATATTGATACAATTTTGCAGCTCTACAAACCAGCACAGCAAACCTAGAATTTTATAAAATATAAAAACATTGTGCAGCCCTACATTTAGACTAGCTTATTTAAGTGGTATTGCATATTTTAAATGTTTATTCACAGTGTTGAGTGCTAATGAGTCTCCAAATGATGTAGTAATGGATACTGTGTCCTAACCAGACATAATGTGATAAAAGCTTAATGTAGATCTAGAGCAGCCACAGTCGCAGCAATCAACAGGCCTACGTGTCGCTGCGCCTGGTTTAGGACACCGTACTAGTTACCCAGAACAGAAACTGTAATATTTGCAGGGATATCTGAACTTACAATATATGCAATCAAATAAAGCAGAAACGTTGTGTGCGGTGGGTGCTACTAGTCCAATAATTAATCATCTGGGTTGTTAACTGTGATTGTGGGTTCAGCCTCAAATATAAGTGACCACATAACCACATAACCACAGCTTACTGTAATTACACGACCTGTCATGATGAATAATGTGCCTACTGTGATTCAGCTCATTCACACCGAGCTGCTGTGATCTCTATTCAGTCTTAACACGTCATGTGACGCCTACTGCAGGAGTAAATGCACCGTTGCACACTTACTGTACTCGAACAGCATGTGCACGATATGAAACGGAGCCCAGCAGATGGTGAACAGCAGCACGATAGTGATCATCATTTTGACGGCACGTTTCTTCTTCCTGTTTGAACAACAAAATACAGCTGTGGAGGTATGTTTCTGTAACTATACACCAGTTTATTCATACAAAAACTCATTCACACAATGCGTTTGCTTATGTAGTGTGATGAGCTTCTGAATTAAATATTTTGTATTTTAGTATTCTGAATGCATTAATTATGCCATGTAATGCACCTTATAATGCATTGCACGATCTCATGAAAAACTGTAACAATAATACTCATCTATTCATTGTTACACCTTTAGAAAGTATAAAACACGACAAACAAGTTTCAGATGTAACAAGGAATCTGCAAATATTATAATGCACATCGTGTGATTAATTAGATTAAACATTTGAATCACTTGACAGCCCTAATAAATAATTATTACTAAATAAAATAAGAATTATTATTTTTATTTTATTGCCATAATTATAATGACAAAATTTTGGACAAATTGTGCAGCCCTACAAACAAGCAAAGAATTTTTATTTTTTTTGTAATTTTATATCAGAAAAATTTCAATTATAGTTTTTTCCCCAAATCGTGCAATTATTTATTAATACAAGTAATCTGCAAATATTATAATGCATTTTAACTTTAGTTTGTTTAGCTTTAGTTATTACTACTTTAATTTTGTTTAGTTAGTTACTTAGTTTATGAAAACATATAATGCATTTCAACATACATTTTGAATACCTATATAATGCATTTTACGTAATGGCTTCAAAAGTCATTTTATTCCATATTATTCAGCAAATAAGCTTGATTTTATCCTCCGGAATTTGATTGTATGGAAACATGTAATGTTATTGGGTAAAATAAATTAAAGGCATTTTGAATGTGAAGCAAGTTATTTGCATTACATATTCCTGTTTAATTTGGAAATGCATCACATTACAGAAAACCGTCAAATAGAAAAACTGGGAATTATAGTAAAATGGTTTAGCTGTGAAACATGCATTGTTTTCAGTTGTTTGGACACTTGCCTGGAGATTTTGTTGATCTCTCTGTGGTTCATGGTGCTGAGGACGGAAGAGTCTCCCACGCGTTTCCGGATCCAGAGCTCGATGCCGATGCGGCTGTAGAGGAAGAGCATGGCGGCCAGCGGCAGCAGGAACAGCGCCACCATGATGAAGGTGGTGTAAACCTGACGGTGCAGCAGCGAGTGCCAGCGCTCCTGACAGCACACGTGATGATGATCGTACAGGAAGTCATACTTCACCTGAGGAACACAGATAAGAGAGTAAACCTAACTGGTATTCATACAGAGCATGCATGACTTTAAAGGTGCCACAAGCTGTTTATTTTAGAGTAGGGATGGGCGATAAAACTATATGTGACTCTGGAGCACAAAACCAGTCATAAGGGTCAATTTTTCGAAATTGAGATGTATACATCATCTGAAAGCTGAATAAATAAGCTTTCCATTGATGTATGGTTTGTTAGGATCGGACAATATTTGGTCGAGATACAACTATTTGAAAATCTGGAATCTGAGGGTGCAAAAAAATCTAAATATTGAGAAAATCATCTTTAAAGTTCTTAGCAATGCATATTACTAATAAAAAATTAAGTTTTGATATATTTACGGTAGGAAATTTACAAAATATCTTCATGGAACATGATCTTTACTTAATATCCTAATGATTTTTGGCATAAAAGAAAAATCAATAATTCTGACCCATACAATGTATTGTTGGCTATTGCTACAAATATACCCCAGCGACTTAAGACTGCTTTTGTGCTCCAGGGTCACATATCACGATATTTTCTGGTATTTATTGCAATAACCATATCAATGACAATAATTCATATGCATCCACTGAGAGACAAAAAACTCCTGTTTCTTTAGAGAGAAGTATTATCTTTCCTATTTTTTTTTACCAAAAATAGGTTGTTGTTGTGAGCACACAGGTAATGTAATGTCTGTTTCATTCATACTGGAAGCCAGAGTAAAAAGATGATAGAAACGCTTACACTGATGAAACATGAAGACAATAAACACACACGACTGTGACAATATATGGTTTATAAACCAGGTTTGTAAACAGGCTCATACTACTACGTGGATTATTGTGATGTTTTTATCAGCTGTTTGGACTCTCATTCTGACGGCACCCATTCACTGCAGAGCATCCATTGCTGAGACACTGATGCAATGCTACATTTCTCCAAATCTGATGAAGAAACAAACTCATCCTAATCTCGGATGACCTGAGGGTGAGCACATTTTCAGCACATTTAAATTTTTGGGTGAACTATTGCTTTAAATTTAAATCTAGAATTTGTGTGCATATTCATCTGATTTAGCATGCAACACTATTCTGGGACTACTGATACGACACTTGATGTTGTTTTTGTAACTTTCCGAACTTGACAGACGTCATTAGATGGAAAAATCAGCGTAAAGTTCTTCAGAAGTGACACAAGGGTGAGTAATGACTCGTTTGATGAACTCAAATAAATCAATGAGTAACACACAAACTTTTGCGATAAGACTCTCAGAATTGAACCGCACTCCAGTGAATCTTTTCTACTGTCACCTGATTCGTCAGACTGATGTGGCATCAGCGTCTCTGATCTGCTGACGGCCAAGCGTGACTAAATTATCTTTTTCACATGTCAAAGCAATTAACCTGGCGCTTGTTAAATACTATCGGTTTACTGTGACTGTAATTAAACACTCAATCTGTCTGTTCTCAATATCTTTCGTGATATCACTCGCCTCTAGCTGTTGCACGAACAGCATCGGTGATCCAACCATGACAGCAGCGATCCACACCAGCCCTGTATAGATGTATACAAATCAGATCATTACTGGGTTCTGTCCCATTGTTAATGATGAACCGAAATATACATATACATGAACCTATCAGAGAATAGACAGACAAGAGCCCTCGGGTGAACACTTCATATTTACACATGCACATGAGCTAATGCTTTCATTGTGTCACTGTATTGCCCCGCAGAGAGAGATTTACATGTTTAATGATGGTCTTATGCTGTTATTTTCTCCATAGGGGAATTGATTTTTAACAGTAACTCATAAACCATTAAAAACAGACCTGCTGTGAGCTGCGAGGTCGTTAATTAATGGTATATGCTTTTGCTGAAGCCATCAGAGTGCATTATTACAACTTTAAAAAAAAACAAGTAATGATTAACAGCAATTACCCATGATTCTGCAATTATTTCCAAAAATCAGACAATTGTGGCAAGAAAAGAACTTTGTCTGCTCCCATGAAGCACTGCAGATGATGTAAGTAGTCTCCATATGTTCTATGGAGCATAATATTTGTTGCATTAATATTTATTTATTAATATATATATATATTGTTTCCCTTCAAATCAGAGTTTTTAATGTTGTGGTTCACTTCGTAGCTGCTTGTTTTGTTTTGTTTTTTACTTTTCTTTTGTGTGGTCCCTTCTTCCACCTCCTGTTTTGTGTAGTTTGTCTTATGTCATGCTGTAAATATTGTAAATGCATACCTTTGTATTATCTCATTTACTTAGCCACTGCTCTATTTTCATTTTTACACCCAATAAATTCACCCGTCTGTTGCTTGTAGACATCAGGCTCTTTCGTCCTTTGCACAGCATGCAACTTGAATATATATTTCTCTTTTATTGTCCATTTTAAATGTTAATCCCCTGTACCCCTAGACTCTATCAGGGTTTAACGAAAACCTTTTTTTTTAAACCCCTAGGAGATAAAATGAATGGAAAAAATACTTCTGGAACTGAGGCCACTGAAAAAGTGATCAGAAACGGTGGTAATCTAATCTATAAAGAACATTTCAAACTTTTTAGTTTTTAATAGTTTAAGAAATTTCTCTATATATCAGTCCACAGACCTCCAAATGAACAGCGGTCTGTGGATTTAATGACATGCTCTCGGTCCTTTAGTAATCTCGAAACGCTGCAGTGCATGATGGGAGTCACCTAAGACAGCTTCAGAGAAATTCACTCGCTTCCTGAAACCAAGCTGGCTATCGAGGTGACATTTGAAAAGTAAGTGGGATAGATTTGAAGGAAACTTCTTCTTTTCTTAAGAATAACGGGTGAATCATGCACAGTACCTCCAGGAGCGTGTATTAAGTGCATTAACCTAAGTGCTGTCAGATTTGACCTCATGTTGATTTTTAGGGCTTATGGAGCATTGCTTTTCCACACATTTATCTGAATAATCAAGCAGACAGGGTTGAACGTGTAGGCGTTTGAATTTACCTAGCATTTTGTAGGCTCGTTTGGGCGTGCACTGCCTCTTCATTTTGAGCGGATAGACGATGCCCTGGTATCTCTCGATAGCGATGCAGGTCATGGTGAGGATGCCGGTGACGATGGCAGTAGTCTGTACAAAAGGAACGGTCTTACATACTAGAACCCCTGCATGTACAGCACAAAGAAAACACAAGATACACACACAGTGAACACCCGAAGCACACTTTAGAGCAGTGCTCAACTCATGCTAGAGAATCGGGCCTTGCACGACTGCACTGATATTAATGTAAATAGACAATGGTTTTATTATGTGATGTGTTTGAAAAAAGTATCACCTGAACGTTTTTTAAAATCATCTAATATTAACCTTAAGTGTCTTAAAGGAGTAGTTCACTTCCAGAATAAAAAAATTCTGATGATTTACTCTCCTCCTGGAAGGTTTTCCTCAAAAACCTTAATTTCTTTGCGACTGAAGACAGAAAGACATGAACATCTTGGATGACCTGATGGGAGAGTACATTTTTTTTCTGGAAGTGAACTAATCCTTTAAATAGCTTTTTGTTTATTGTTATTTATTCTGTTTACACTATGATTGCCTTGCTGTTGACATGGTGTTAAATAAATTAATTAAATAAAACGATGGCTGATATTTATAATACAATTTAATGATAGTAAATTCAAATAAAAGAGCTTGTATTTCACACAATATTTGCTCAAAATCCCTAAAGAAATTTAAAACAGGGCATGTTTATTATGAATTATTATGAATCGGTCAAGTAGGAACAAGTATTGGTACAGTTTTTAATATTGAGATACTGTTATTTTCTATTTAATGTATAAAATTTCAATTTTTTATTATATTTGTAACATTTTTGTATTTTCCGTTTTCATTTTAATGTGTGCTTATGTCATTTTTTATTAATTATTGTATTTTTGTTATTTTATATTGTATTTTTAAATATGTCTATATAGTTTTTTTTCAGTGGTAACACTTCAGATTAACACATATTCACTATTAACTAAGAGTTTTCCCTCAATAAACTCATAATTTGCTACTTATTAATAGTGAGGTAGTTGTTAAGTTTAGGTATTGGGCTGGGTTAAGGGATGTAGAACATGGTCATGCAGAATAAGTCTTTGATATGTGCCTAATAAGTACTAATAAACAGCCAAAATGCTAGTAATATGCATGCTAATAAGCAACTAGTTAATAATGAGAATTGGACCTTAAAGTGTTACCTTTTCAGTTTTAGTCAGTTTTTTTTTTAGTTCTTTTTTTATAGTTTAATTTTAATTTTAGTCAAAGATTTAGTAATTTTGTGTCTTTTTGTCATTTTTAGAAGTTTTTTTTTATTTTCATGTCTATTTATATTTCTTTTTTTGTATAGTAGTAGTTTAAGTTAAACGAAATGGAAATGCATATATATATATATATATATATAATTTATAACCCTGTCCGTTAATAAAATATCACAATTTATTATATAGACTAACTGACTGCATTTGTGGATTAGGTGTCTTTTGCTTTGATAACACTAACAGAGAGTCATATATCATTTGAATTTGCAGCACAACCAGCCGTCAAAGTGATTTACTGCACAAAAACATTTGTCCAGAGGGAAGGAGAGCAGCACAAACCCCTGAATTACTGAGGATTAAAGGTGCGTCACTGGACATCGTGCTCCATTCATGTCCATTCACACCTGTACTAACGCAGCAGAGCAGAAACTCAAGCACACGGTGAAGGTTTGTTTTTCTCTGCATACTAAAAGTCAGGTTTGATGACCTCTGAACTCCTGGCTCCAGACAGAGAATACAAACTTCAGCACTGCATGATTTACAGTTTTATGGGAAATTTTAGCATGCTTATGTGACCTACACTCTTATTGGTTGTGGATCATTTGTTGCTTTGCATGAAGTCAGACTTGCCAAAGTGTGCTGTGTCGCTCATAACAGTGACAACGTGTGTTTCCATACAGGTGTGTATATATTTGTCTAATGACTTCTTGCTGTAATATTAAACGGTGCATTTGCATTTCAAAATCAGTGTTTTAATGCAGTGATGATAAACATAAAATTGAGAGACGTTTGCCGTGTATTTGCTCCACACTTCTCATAATCCTACTTTAGATTCAGACCTGGAGTGTCTCTCTAATTAAACCCCACAGGAAAACTGTCCGATGGTATTACCATGGGTTTTTTAAACATACAGTGGTACTGACTGATTACCATGTTTGTAAATCATTACCAAAGTACTTAACATGATACCATGGTGCTATCTAACATGCCACAAAAAATAGTATTATAATAGTAGGGTACAACGGAGCTAAAGGCCCACCTTAAGAAAAAAGCCTTTTACCCCACACACGGTATTGATACAAATACTTCAGCTAAAATAATGTTTTTTTTTTAATAATGTCTAAGTTAATACTTGCTCAAAACAATCACTTTAGCAAAGTTTGTACTTTTTTCTGCTTATTTTGAAAAATAAAATAATTAATTTTTTTTTCAATAAATATACTGTCATTAAAATATATTCATATAAAAAATATATTTTAAAATACTGAAACAAAAATCAAGTAAACACAGAATCAACTTTGCGCTGCTGCGCGCGATCACGTCAAGGATCAGACAAATATACATGTGCATCTTGAAAAGCGGATGTTTTGGAAAGTGCTACGACACATTTTTGTGCCATCCTAGTGGTTTAGATGAAAATAATATCAACCCTATTATCATGATACTCTGTGGTGCTTTTGTGTATATAAAGTATATAATTTAGTGTATGTGAATGTATGTATGTGTGTGCGTATATATATATATATATTAGAGATGCACCGATTGCAATTTTCTTGGCCGATTTCCGATTTTTTGGAAGTGTGACCTGCCGATACCAGTTTTTGCCAATTCCGATTTTCTTTCTAAGAACTATAATTGACAGCATATACAAACAAAAATCAATGCAAATTTCAATGCAAAAATTATTTACATAATTAAAGAAATAATTAAACATTACAATTCCGTCAATCTGGACTAAGTTACAGATTTTCTCTCACTTAAACAACTCTCGAAATAAGGTGCTCTGTGACTGGAAAGAGGAAGAAATAGTTAACTTAAAATGAGTTGCCGTATGGAACAAAACAGATGTCATTTCCCACTATGTTTATACATGGTCATTTTTTTCCCCTAACCTTATTAAATATCTCATCTTTCACATCAAATTCTTACTTTGTTTTAATTAATTCAGTTAGAATAATAAGAAACTGTAGAGTTGTTACCATTCAAATTAAATTAGTATTAACAAACTCTATCTTTCCACTGCTGAGGAAACAGAAGCTGCATCTGAAGCAGAATTAGATGCATTTACACAGACAGTTTGATGAAGCCGAGGTGGCATAAATGCATTTACACTGCAAAATTTCAAATGCATAAATAATTTTATAAGATTAATGTGTTACATATTTTTTTAAACATACAAATAAATGTTTAAAAAATGCAAAGATGCTTTTAAGTGACTAAACCACCAGTAGGTGGCGGCAAATGTCTGTTTTAATGAGTGAGTCATTTATTCATTCATTCGACCGATTCATTCAAACAACTGATTCATTCAGAAACGAGGCAAGTGACTGTTCTTATGAATGGACCACTGAATCATTGACTCACTCGATTCATTCAAAAACGTGGATTCATTCAGTAACGAAACACCGCTGTGTGTTGCTCGGAGACACACAACAGTTCTTCTGTGGCTTTGATCGAAACTATTTTCGTCAGCGAAATTTGTAGCAATAGCCAACAATACATTGTATGGGTCAAAATTACCGATTTTTCTTTTATGCCAAAAATCATTAGGATATTAAGTAAAGATCATGTTCCATGAAGATATTTTGTAAATTTCCTACCGTAAATATATCAAAACTTAATTTTTGATTAGTAATATGCATTGCTAAGAACTTCATCTGAACAACTTTAAAGATGATTTTCTCAATATTTAGATTTTTTTGCACCCTCAGATTCCAGATTTTCAAATATTGTCCGATCCTAACAAACCATACATCAATGTAAAGCCTATTTATTCAGCTTTCAGATGATGTATAAATCTCAATTTCAATAAACTGACCCAGGGTCACATTTCATGTTTCACTTTAAATGATTTAAATTATTAATTACATATTCACGTTTTAATTACCTTTCTATCGTCACTAGTTAATTTTAAGTTGTTCCCACAGTCTGACAAATGAGTTTATAAGCCTACTAATATTCCATGTAGCCTCTTTAATTAATATGATTAAGTTTTTGCTCTGCAATTATTATAAAACGTTACCCAATAACGCGCAATTCACAAAGCACTCAACATTTGTATGACTGTACAGGAGAAAATGGGGGTTTGGATGCGCCACCTGCTCTAATGCATCTTCAACAGTCCTGCAGATTCTTACAAGTTGTTCATTGCATGTTCTAATTAGTATGAGCTCATGAGCTGTAGAATAATGCATATGAAATGTCTAAATAGTTTCAGGTGGAGAATACTGGAGCATGTCATTGACTCTTCTAAGTATTTCCCGTCGTTTTCATGTTATGTTATGTTTGTTAATGACTAATTATAAAGTGATCTGAAGCAGACTCTGACCTCCCAGCCACTCTGACGAGATGTTCTGCAGCAGCGTGAAGGGGATGCAGAAGAAGGTGATGAGCAGGTCGCTGACCGCGAGAGAGCAGATGAAGATGTTGGTGGCCGTGCGCATTGCGCGCTTACGCAGCACGATACAAACCACCAAACTGTTCCCGACCAGCGCCAGCACGAAAATAATCACGTACATCACGACAAACGTGGTCTTCGCTCCAGCAGGGAGCTCGGGGATGTAAACCAGAGGCTGGATGTTGTAGGTGTCGATGAATTCCTGACGCGAGAGGTTGTAGTACTGCAGGAGTTCCTGGAGAACCTCCGGAGTGATCTTCGTAGTGGCCGTCATCTCTGTAGAAGAAGACATGTCGGTTTTCAGTTCATACTGAGAGCAAAAAAAGTCCAGTGAGGTTTAGTGAACTGTAATTGAATCCCGCTGCTCCTGTCAGGCTGTTTCGCGTCTTCTGCTGTCTGTGCGTCAGTGCGCGCTCGCTAGTGTGCACTGCATCTGCCGAGAATAGATAGACTACTTTTTGTTCTTTCTTCTTTTCTTTTTTTTTGTAATGTTGTTTAAATCTTTGACTTACACCTCACGAAGTCAAACTAATTTCTTTATTTTCTACCACTAAACGTTAAATAATATCCTAATTAAATATCTTTTAGAATTCCTAGGTTATAGTAATGTGAAATAAACGTTTTTACATAACATTTCCACTCTCATTCTAACAAGACTAGCAGGGTTGGGTACCAAATGTTGGTAGGTGCTTAAAGTTTGCCCTTGCACAAACTAAGGCTTTAAAAGTTCTTAGCAGAAAGTCGTAATAAAGTCATGGTATTAAATGTTGCATGCACTGCAGGAAACTGAGTATTTAGGTTTTCCAGTAGATCCATTAAATCAAGATACTTGAGATGCAAAATGGAGATATTTAGTCTTTTTTTTTCTGAGAAATTTAACAAAATTAAAGGGATAGTTCACCCAAAAATGAAAATTTGAAGTTTATCTATTGCCATGCATTATACGACTGATAGACTGCAACGGTTAAAGTTAAAAATCATCATATGTGTTCTACTGAAGAAACAAAGTCACCTACATCTTGGATGCCCTGGGGGTAAGCAGATAAACATCACATTTTCATTTTGGGGTGAACTATCCCTTTAAGCAAGGTATTTAAGAACCGATATCTGTCGGCAGGGAATGAAAACTAGTTTTTCCTTTAAATTAAGTTGGTTTTTCTGAGCCCATTGGCAGATATTATTTTTTTAATCATAAACTTTTCATTTCTCGTATTTTTTTTTCCAAGTGAATGCATCTTGATTTATGCTATGATTCTTTTGCACTGGAAAACAAGACAAAACTACAGGCTAAACACATTTTTGCAGGAAAAGTACAGTAAAATATCATTCCATATTCTAGTATTTGGGATCAGCGCTATTCAAGCATTAAGCTGTTTTTTTTGTTGTTGTAGTATTAAAAATGAGATCTGTTGAAGTTGCATTTTCAAACTTTTAAGCGTTGCTAACACATCTCATTGTGTTCTCCCTAGACATTAAATACGGGAAAGTTAGAGGAACATTCTGTGTTTGCTGGTCTAGTCACAATTCGCCTCACAATTGATAATGCAATCAGCAGATTGAGGCTATTAGTCTTTCTGTCATGTTGTGGGGTGGGTGGACGTGCTTGTGTTAATTTAAATTTGTTATAGTTTATCTAATATGTTTAATGGGAAATGTGCCTTTGTTGCTTCTCAAAAAGTAATTTCCAATTATTTCTATGCATCCAGTCAGCATGGGCCAATTTATGACAGCGGAGTTGGAAATTGAGGTATTAGAGTTTGTTCTTCATGCTGTAGCATATGTGGTGATGATACTTCAGAAGGACACACTTCACGTGGTGCAGAAAATTACAGCTGAGTGCTCATGATTGATGTGCAAAAGTGGCGCTCACTATTGCCATACAGCAGAAATCTGACGCTGCATTGCATTGGTTAGTTTAGATCCTTTGAGTGGTTTCCTTAGGTGAGCAAGTGTATGCAAAATCCAGATTTAATCTCTATAGCCTATGTGCATTAACCTCATGCTTTGAGAAATGATTATAAACAAAAACTGAACTCAGCTCTGCTATTGAAGCTTCAGGCTGTCTTTGTTCAGAGTCTCCAGGCAACGACAGCAAACAGAGGAACACAGTGAACTGAGGTGAGCTGCGCATTTCAAAGTATTTCTACTTGTAAGTTACATTACCTGTTCAAAAACTGATTAATGCATGAAGACTTTTGTGCTAAAATGATGAAGTATTGTCTGTGAAATTACATGCCGGTTGCTTTGTGTCAAAGGAAATGAGTGGAAATGCTTTTATCTCTGTGACTACTGGTGGACGTTTGTACTGTAAAAGGACCCGAGCATTTGGGATATTTGACATTTTTTCCTTCCAGAGATTATGGAGCCATCGGAGGAGCAGGTGAATGAAGCTCTGCCGCAGACAGGCCTGCGGACCAGTCCTGAATCTGTGCGTCAGGAGAAAGCGCTGTGTGAGACGCCGGGCACGAGCAGGACCTCCACTAGAGGCAGCCTTCGCTTCGGGAGCCTCAGCCATCATTCCTTCTTCTCCAGACACAATCCTCATCCTCACAGAGTCAGACACATGCAAGGTGAGCCGCTCCGGACCCACAGACCTGTTCAAAAACATGCTTGTGTTTGTCATTTTAGGGAAGTATTTCTATTAAAAAGATTTCTGAAATCTGCTCCGATCAAGATCAGACACTTCTTTTGATTATAATAACTTGATTATTTACACAATGAGGTTAAACAGGTTCAGTGAGGGATTGACAGTAATCATGTATGAGGATGGGCAACTTTTAAATTTTGTACTATAGTATTAAATTAAAATATATATACGAACATATATTTACATCAAGCTATGGCCACAAAGAAACAGTGCATTTAAAATATATTCATATTCAGGTTTCACATTTGTTTGTTTTTTTTGTCAGCACTTCCAGATATGTAAGAAAAAATGTATAAAATCAGGCATTATTAAAGCCTGTCTTCATACGGAAGCTCTGGTTAATTAATTAATTAATTTGATTAATTTTCGGTGTTTTTCGGTGTCAATTATATGTCAACTCAATTAAACAATTTGCAAAATAAATTCTTCGAGATTTTCATACTGCAAAAAATGATTTTCTTTCTCAGTATTTTAATTTGTTTTCCAGAACAAATATCTAAACGTTCTTGAATCAAGATACATTTACTTAAGAAGCAAAATGACTTGATATTAAACCTTGTGTTCTGATAAAATGATCAAAATGATGTTAGTTGAAGCTTAAAATAAGGAAAAATTATCTGCCAATAGGGTCAGAAAAATAACTTTAATTAATTTAAAGGGAAAATACGTTTATTTTTCTTACCCCATTGTCAGGCATTTTTTTTTATTTTAAGCATAAACAAAATTTTTATGCATTTTTCAGAAAACAAGACTTGTATCTTTCATCATTTTGGTTTTCAAGTAAATGTATCTTGATTTATGAATGTTTAGATATTTGTACTGTAAAACGAGACAAAAACAGGAAGGAAATCTTTTTTTTCTTCTTTTTTTTCTCATTTTATGTAATGACTTCTGCATTTAATGCATATGTGTGATGTGCAAAATGATCATATTTTCTTCAATAGATGGATCAGTCCATTTGTAACCGTCCTCTAAATTCATTCTTAATGTTAAATGCTAGATTTGTCATGACACTGCGTTATTGACAGAAAGTGTTGACATATAATGAGTGATAAAGGCAAGGAGAACGTATATTTTGTGATAAAAGCAGTAGGTAAATGCCTGAAAGATTAATCCAACATAATTTTTTTTTAGTACAAAAACATTAATTTCTTCATCTTTCATCCTGTTGTCACAGCACTCGAGGCTCACTGCATTGTAAAATATGCCTGTAGCAGCAGGAGTCCAGACACAGAGGCTGTTTTGTGAGGTTTTATGCTCTATTAGTATAATAAAGGCACATGAATCTATCAAAATCCCCGTAGCCCTTCACGAGGAAAGCGCCAGCATGTTCATCTCTTCTCTGAATGACTTTAATGAAGAGTTACTGCATAAACACACAGTTTGTCCTCGCCAAAAAACAAGTATGATTTACATACTTCCAACGGCGAGTTCTTCACGCTGAATGCGAGAAAGTGTGAATAAGCAGGTCTGTATTTGAAAACCTGCCCACTTGTTACTAATTTAGACTGAAAACATGCAGTACGATCATAGTAACGTCAGGCGAGAGAGTGAAATCAAGCCCAAACTGGCCTTGGTCTCTGTGAATATTCATGCAAAACTTGGTGTTGCATTGGGCAACAGAGGATTTATTTGCGATTGACAGCATCTCAGACCTCACAGATTCTCATCACAGATGGTTTCTTTGATGACTTTCTGCCTGCAGAACCTGTTTTCTTTAGCAGCTGTGTGTAACTTTACTGTATTCCTGTGAAGAGCTTCACCCACAGCAGGAGTCCAATGCGGTTTAATGCGGGTTTAATGCATGTACAAACGCTCTGAATCCTGGGAGACTTGAAAGTCAAAGTTAAGCCTGATCACATTTCCAGCACGGATTTCTAATGGTCTCCTCTTTCCGTAGGGTTGAATGGTAAGCCGGTTTGTACGGTGAATGATGACTGGTACGGCTTCACTCCTCTCTGTCCACATCCACTCATTAAAAGTCAAGTGTCTGTCGGTGGGAGCCGTTGGTCGGTGTTTCTCACACCTGAGATCGGCTCGGATCGCGCTGGACCACGAGCAGGTATTATACAAACATGAATGCTGCTTTTGTGTCTAACAGAGATAGTTCACACAAAAATGAAATTTGTGTCCTCATGTTGCACTGACTTTATTTCTTCAGGGAACACAAGAAGACATGCAAGACAGAATATTCATAGTCTGTCGAGCTCAAAAAGTACTTAGTGACAGACTTTTTAATTGAAAAGCTTCCAAATCATATTTCAAATTTTTGGGGATTAAATTTTTTAAGTGAAAACACACAACGTTTGATACATCAACTTGCTTTTTACTTTTTATGACAGAGAGAGAGAAGAAATATGCATACGCATCCATTTTTTTAAAAATGTCTATTTATGTACATTTTCTATATATGCATATATTTTTTTCTTCAAAAAAAGTTTGGCTTAAGTTTGACTTAAAAAAAAACGTTTGACAAAATATGCATATATAGAAAAATGACATAAATAGAAATAGAGATAAATAAAAATGGATGTGTGTTTGTGGAGGTAGTTGTAAATGTGCATAATGAATCATGTTTCAATGTTTTGAATGTTTTCTAGGCAATCAACCTAACTTTTTATTTGTTTGACTTTGAATATAAAACTGGGATAAAAGGGGAAAAAATCAGCATAAAAATGACATGCTTCACACTCAGAATCATGAGAATTTATTTTATTTATTTATTTTATTGTATTTTATAAAAAAAATTTAAAACAATGTTGTCAGTATGAATTGTAACTTGAAAAAAAATTATTATTCGGTTACTAAATGATTACTATTATTTAAAAAATGATCATTGCTTTACATTTTACTAGCTTAATTAATGCTGTTGCTGTCAATAATAGTTAGCTGTCGTATGGTTCAGAGTGTATATTTTGACTTAATTAACATTTGTTGATCATCGCAATGTTTGAGATTTGTGTGTTGAGTTTAAGTGCATCTCGTTAGAACTTTTGGATTTAATATATTGGCCTCTAGTTTTAAAAGACAAATATTGCAAAGTCCATATCATGTATAAGGCACTGAAAATCAAACATGAAGACAGACTGAATAACAGATTATAGTTACTTACATTGCTAAATAAAGTTTAACAAAATTCATTAATTACAAAAATTTTATTTAAACGCAGATCAAAGGTATTTAAGTTGTCAAACAGTAATTTGAGTTGCTTGCGTTTGAGTTAATTTAAAAAATCAAGTGTGATATGTTGCATTATTTTTATTATAATTGTTTTATATATACATATATATCTCTGACTATTTAGAGGATCTTAAAAAACACTCCAGAAAATGGCTCTCAAATGTATATTCATTTTCGTCAGTAGTAGTTGTTATTTTTTGCCCTTTTTGATCTTCTCACATCTGTTTCTTGTTCTTGCTCTCTTTCATCTCTCATGTCTTTCCACAGAACTGATTTCTGAATGCTGGCGTGAGGAACTGAAGGATTTGGCCACCAAAGTCAGTCTTTCAGCGGCCGCTGAGACCCAGCAGGACAAGAGAGAGGTAAAAAAAAAAAGCATTTAATGCAATGCAAGAGGCTTTTGCCAAATGCATAAATGCACAAAGCTTGCTTGTTTATTTATTTATTAGTATTTCAGTATGCACTGATTTTGTGTGTAATTCTGTGAAACTGATTCAAATATGATAAAGCAGAGATTACTGCACTCTTATTAATAGCTGAAATCATAACCAAATCAGCCAAAATACTTAAGAAATAAACAATGGGGTGATTTGACTGATTTTGTATTAGAGTTTAGAATCTAATATCCACCTTTTTCTGTGCCCCATGACACTTTGCGTGAATTGTGGGAGTAACTTCCGTTAAACTGCAATCAATCCGCAAAATATTCGCTCTATGAATGCAATAATAAACTGGGTACAATGAGGTGACATTATTCTACTTACCCTTCAACCATCAAACATTAAAAGGAAATGCAAAAGTGTAAAAGCATTACCAAATTACCACAACAGACCATGAATAACCCCAAAAAGCTCAGTTATTTCTGCAGAAGTATTATGGACATGTTAAATTCAAATGTTATGAATGTGTTCATTAACTGGAACACTGAGTTATAATTTTTCAAAGTGACAAATATATGTATTATTGACCTGTTTTAGAATCATTCCAGTAAACACTGCTGATAGGGATTAGAAGCTTTTTAAAGCATCCGTGTGAAAACAAGCCTGGAAATATATGTGAGGATTTGGGAAGAAAAATGATTCTTAGTGCATTCAGTGAATTATTCGTGATATCGTAAATTAAATCGGGAGAGCAGACCACAGATGCGCAGTGCATGTTGTCTTTTTTCATACAGTTATGCTGATCACGGCTACTCACCACCCGCGCCGCGGCAAGTTTCTGAAGCGGCTCTCTGCGCTGCATCACTAAAGATAGGCACCTATATTTTTGACGGATAATAAGAATAATAATAATCGTCTCGCTGTCGTCAAAGAAATCAGACACAGGCGATATCTCTGACTATCGTCGATACACAATACTATCGTCTACCGGCACAACCCTAAATTGAAGGTTGTGATGACAATTCGTTTCCTTACCATAATCTATACTCTTAAATTCTTTATTGTCATATGTGTGTTGAATGTAAACTCTTATTAGGAATTTAACCATTCAGAATATTCTTAAATAAGGAAATTTATTCCATGCGTGTCTCGTCATCCAAAACACAGCAAAGTGTCTGAATCAACTCTAAGACTGACACTTAAGATTTAGTCCTACACTTCGCTTACATTACGACTGAGATGCTTGATAACTAACTTTTAAGCACAGCTTTGAGCCAAGAATTTTTTTACACTTAAGTCAATTCTAAGCAACGTTCTTGAGAGTAATTCTCAGAGGCTTGATAAATACAGGCCCTGAACAAAGACATCTTCAAATCAGTTGTAAAAACATAAAAGACCTTTTGGTTTGTTAGGATCTCGTAACACAAAAAGTCACACACCTAGTTTTGGGGATGAAAACACATGGTTATCAAAGATCTTTATTGGGGCATCTCCCACAAGAACAGGGCCCGTATGTATAAAACTTCTCAGAAATGCTCTTAAGAATAGTCTTAAGCTTTGATTTAAGTGTCAAAAAATTCTTAGTAAAAAGTAGGACTTTTCTAAGAGTAGGAGACTTTTATAAAGAAGCTAAAAGCAGCTTTCAGTAAAGTCTAAGACTGATTCTTAAGTGTTGACTGAGGTGACACTTAAGTGTTGTGAACTAAGGACTACAATGATGTCAACACAAAATGGCTGACAGTTGGAGCAATGATGTGAACATGAGTTCCATCAATGGTTCAAACAACTCCATGAAAGCCCACAATCCTCACAAAAGTGGCTTGTTTTTGCAGTATTGGCAGTCAGTTGGAAAGTCAATAAACTGCCATATATTAGTGGCCAAAAGTAATGTCCGGCCTAGGAAATTTGACATCTTCACCCTTACTTAAAAAAAAAAATTGTTTTGAAAGTGCAAGATTTTGTATGGATATTGCATAGCTGCTTAGAGTCAGTTGTTTTATTTGTGATAATAATGCAATGAAAACATGCCAAATTGTGCGGTCATAATTTTTGGCCATGCTGTTATACAAAGAAATTATGAACACATGTAAAAACAAGAGGACCAATGAAATATGAATAACCTATGTTGTAGTCAATGTGCCAATGTTGCCAATTTAGTGATTTTGTCACTAGATTTAGTGACTTCCAAAATCAAAATCAATTTCTTGGACAAACCTTATCTACATTCCGTGACTCTCCCATGACGTTATAAAGGCGAGTTCACTGATCTATATAAATATAAATATAGATCAGTGAACTCACCTTTATGAGGTCATCTAGCAACATTGAGTGACCAGTTTTAGCTACTTTCGATTGAAAGCAGTTGGCAACACTGGTCAGTGTTTTTTTCCCCTTTGTATTTAATGGTTTAAGTGAAATGTGGGGTCATTAAAAAAAATAATCCACACATCACTTTTGGCCACTGTTGTGTTTGGTGGGGTTAGTGCCACAATATGTAAGACCCTGCTTACTGTGTCATCACCGGTGCATTGATGCATTTTTCCAATTTTACAGCCAAAAAAATGTTATTACTACATTTCTGTAGTTAGAGCATTGACTTGTTGCGTGGAAGAGGTTATAAAATTTATTTCTTTGTCAGTTACAAAAAAAAAAGACTTTGTGATCTTGACAATCAAGTTTGTATCGTTTTATCAACTCCATATGATGCATTTTTCCAATTTTACAGCCAAAAAAATGTTATTACTACATTTCTGTAGTTAGAGCATTGACTTGTTGCGTGGAAGAGGTTATAAAATTTACTCCATATCATCATCTAACTCCAATATGTCTCCTCCTCTGTGCTGCCATCGTCATTCTTAGAATTTTGACACACTTAGGACTAAAATTTTACTCTGAGCGGCTTTATACATATGGCCCCAGGTTTTGTTTTCTTTCTTCTTTGCCTGTTCTGGCATCAATTCTGTTGATGCGAGAGTGAAACCACCTTACCAGTCGCACCTGAAGTGTTTATATTGACCACACATAAAACAGCTTGAAACAATAGATTTGTGAAATTTGCATGACTGACTGAGACCTGAGGGGAAGGAGAGGGTGTGAGGAGTCAGGAACTCAGCATGGGGGGGAAGAGATGAGATTGGGCCAGCTGTTGTTCTGTGCTTTTTCTCGTAGATCCTATCTTCAGATTAGTGAGTTTTATTATTTTATTACAGGATAGGAATCTTGAATTCAGTTTTGGTAAAATCCATCCTTTCAGTCCTCCCCTGGTCCCTTGGGGCAAACTCCGAGCAGTCCTTAAGGGGCCACAGGAAATGATCTCCGTACACTCTAAAAAATGCTGGGTTAAAAAGGGACAAACCCAGCTATTGGGTTGTTCTGACCCAGCGGTTGGGTTGTTTTGAACAACCCAACCGGTTTGTTTTGAGACTTCATTCCTCATCTGTTGCTATCATGTCCCTGTCAATTCATGTGGTTGAATTGGCAAAGGATTTGAAATTATTTGTTTCGGTCTTTTTGAGTAGAACTTCCCCAAACCAGAAATGCTAACCTGAATTTAAAAACCTAGGAGACTCGTTAGGCAAAAGGTGGATTGATACACATGCATCAGGTTCTGAATGAGTGGACTTATTATATTAGATAGTGCTGAGTAAATCAAATAAATTAATTGTAGAAGCCTGAATGCATCCAGCCTTTGTGTTTGTCTGTGATTAAACTCAAAGAAACTCACAGATGAGGAAGTTCCTCGCAGGAAGACGCAGTATTCGGCGCAGTCCGGCCGGATCATCCCTGCTTCGTCCTGGGGAGGGAAGAAGCGCAGCAGCAGGACTTCACACAAACGAGCCCAGCGATGGCAGACGCAAAGCCTGGAGGGAGTGGAGCTCAAGGTAACACACCTGTTTACCTGTTTACTGACCTTGCTGAACACGTGCACGTCACAGTTTGATAGTGAACATGAAACTTTCACATTGCATCTGGTTAGAACACAATATTGGCAGATGTAAGAAAGGAAATGCCATTATGTCACATTATTGGTAAAGGCATGACCTGGTTTTTACGACAGATTGCATGTGGCGTTCAGGTCATGTCATACTTGCCTTAATTCCAAATGATTAAGGTTAAAACTCGATTTTTTTTATGTTTCTAGGAAATGTTTCTTTGATATTTTATGGAAATAAAATATCAAACTGAAATACACAACCAGTCAAAAGTTTGGAATAAGGCTTTTTAAAAGAAGACTTTTTTGAAAAAAGTTTTTTTGATCAAAAATTCAGTAAAAATCAGTAATATTGTGAAATATGATTACTATTTAAAAGAACAGTTTTCTATGTGAATATATTTTAAAATGCAATTTATTCCTGGGATGCAAAGCTGAATTTTCAGCAGCCATTACTGCCATCACAGGAATAAATTGCATTTTAAAATACATTCAATTAGAAAAGTTGTTTTAAAATATCACTGTTTTTACTGTATTTTTGCAGCCTTGCGAGCAGAAGAGGCTACTTTCAAAAACATTTATTATTATTTCAAACTTTGTTTGATATTTTTACTCTCAATGCAATGGACACGACTTGTTTTTTTATTTTCTTTGTGATGAATGAACTGTAAACTGTTATCAGTTTCTTTGACTCATTTGATTGGACTGCCAAAACTTTAGACATTTCTACACAAAATTGATTTAAAAAGTGTATTTATTGCTCTTGCTGAATTAAACATGCAATGTGATGTGAATAACCATGTAACTAACTACAAATTGAAATGATAAAAATACAATGAGTCTGCAATCTAAAGAGTGTGTTAAAAAGTATATATATATATAACATGACTAATAAAAATTACAAAAACATAAATTACTAAAACTTTGTGTGTGTGTGTGTGTGTGTGTGTGTGTGTATGTATGTGTGTATAATATCTCAATTGTACTAAAATAACTCTATATATTTCTTAGGTGCTGGAGCTTTTGTGTCAGATCCTGCAGACTGATTCTCTCTCAATGGTTCAGCAGTGGCTTTTGTTGGCAAGTGATAAAGGTGAACAACTGCCCTTTGCATTAATTGATTTATTTATTAGCAGTTAAACAAATAATTGACTGATACATGGTGAATGATCTGCTTTAGAGAGCATTTAAAGACCTTCATGCTACTATCCTAAATGCTGACAAAGTAAACTTTCAGCAGGTGATGCAAAATGCACAATCTTTTTTTTCTCTTCCCAGGTGATAGACTGAAAGTACTGATGACTTCTAAAGGCTTGTGTAAAATCTTTAGGAACCTGAAGAAAGTAAAATAATATCTGTTCAAACATGGTTGTAAAGTGAATTGCTCAGAATATTTTAGTCTTATGTAAATAAGTGACTTCCCTGTTGACTTCACATTGATCTTTGAAGTAGAAAATTCTTTGTTGAGATCAAAATGTTTGCAAACATAAAATGCGATTGTTCTTGCTATTTTAACTATTAATTCATTGCAATTATGTAATAAACCACCTTCATGCATGTGCATTACTGTGTACGTAAGCCACCAAAGATCATTTCTGACCCAGGAACAATTTCTTTCAGAACTGACAATTTGTAAAATCTGCATCACATATTTTCACCTTAGTGATAAAAGTTTATTGTGTATGGAAGCTTGTTTCTGCCACGGGATTAAAACAATTAAAAAGGTAATTACGATTGTTTTTCTCTCACAATTTAGACTTTTTTACTCTAAAGTTTTTTTACTTTAAACTTGCAATTGTGAGAAAAAAGTCGGAATTACGAGATGTAAAGTCAAGAATTGAGAGATGTAAACTCGGAATTGTGAGATGTAAACTCGGAATTGTGAGATGTAAATTAAAGTCGGAATTGTGCGATGTAAAGTCGGAATTGCGAGATGTAATGTCAGAATTGCGTGATGAAAACTCGGAATTGTGAGATGTAAAGTCAGAATTACGAAATGTAAAGTCAGAATTGTCAGAATTACGAGATGTAAAGTCAGAATTGTGAGATGTAAAGTCAGAATTGCGAGATGTAAAGTCGGAATTTGCGAGATGTAAAGTCGGAATTGTACAATGTAAAGTAGGAATTGCGAGATGTAAAGTCAGAATTTCGAGAGGTAAACTCTGAATTGTGAGATGTAAACTCTGAATTGTGAGATGTAAAGTCAGAATTTCAAGAGGTAAACTCGGAATTGTGAGATGTAAACTCGGAATTCCGAGATGTAAAGTCAGAAATGCAAGGGAAAAAAAAAAACAATTGTGACAATCACAAGCTTCCATAGTTCTATGCATTTAATTTGTCATGAGAAAAAATTGTTTCATTTGCACTTTGTCTCAATTTATTCAAGTTACTTATGAGATCTTCTCTTAAAATAATCACCACCACCAACAAAAATACACAATGCAGTACAAACACAGCAGGGCAGCTCAAACAGTCCTATTAGTTTCCATTATGGAAACATCAGTGAGTTTAACACTTCAACACAGGCCGCTTGTGTCCTGCAGATGGATGTGCTAATGAAGGCTCATTAGATGTGTTCTCTGTTCTCAGAGAAAGAGCTGGTTCAGGGGTTACTCCAGCAGGCCATGGCCAACTCCAGCTCTCTGACCCAGCAGAAATCTGGACCAGAACTTCTGCCTTTGACGTCTGAAGATCTGCCTGATCACGTGTTCCTCAGCTCGTCTGTCAGCCGAAGGAAGAGCAGGTGAGTGTTTCCTGCAGGGTTTACAGCTGCTGTCTTACTATAAGTGAAAACACTTTAAAATACTGTTCTGTCATTAATGAATAAATAAAAAGGAATAAACGGAAATGCAGCATTCTAGTAACTTCTATGAACTAACAAGAAACTCTGGTTAACAAACAAGTAATAGCACTCAGCTGAGTGTGGTAGTTAATCAGTACTATTTTTTCATAACTGTCAAAGAACTACTAAGAAACCATATGAAGTTTCATAATTCCACAGTGCAAAAAAATTAATTTCTTACTCAGTATTTTTGTTTTGTTTTTGAGTACAAATATCTAAACATTCTTAAATCAAGATACATTTACTTGAGAAGTAAATATTAAGTATTGTTTACTGTAAAATAGATAAAAATTAACTGAGTTTATGCTTAAAATTAAAACAAGCAAAAACATCTGTCGTCAGAAAAATAATCATGTTTAAGTTTTTTTTCTGATCCCATCAACAGATATTTTTCTTTTAACTCACTTAATTTTGATGATTTTTCCCCCCAGAAAACAAGACATAATATCAGAAGTAATTTTGCTTTTCAAGTAAATATCTTGATCTAAGAATTTTTAGAGCTGATTTTTGTTTGTTTGGAAAACAAGACAAAAAATACTAAGCACGCATAATTTTTTGCAGTTTATAAAGTGGTAACTGACTAGTCCAACTAGTACCCTGAAAAAAAAACTGGCATAGAAACAATTTTCACTCAGAAATCGTTAGTAAGTTTCACAAATAATTGCAAAAATGCAGCAAGTAACACTGAATTAAACATGAAATTTTGAAGTAGAAACACCGAAATAGTATTTTCTCGTAAAATGTTCTCCAATAATTTATTTACAACTTTGAAGAAAAAAAAAAATAGAAGAATCAGGGAGAATCAATAAATTATGAATAATTTACTGCCATTGTGTGAATAATATGTAATCATGTAATCCATAAAAAAGTAACT